ATTAGGTTCATGACATGCCAAAAAATCTCAGTCAAGAAACTATGCATTAAACTAGAAATGACTAATGTATAAATAGTTTTCCTCAGATCTAATTCCATTTAACTTATTGCTTGTAGGAACTTCCAACAGCCTTTAGTTTACAGTTCAAAGGACCTCCACCAGAGAGGGCATATCTAATAGACCGAAACATGAATTTGTGGCTTGTGAAAATGGCCAAAATTGGAAATGACTTGTTTTTTTGTGATGGCTGGGAAAAGTTTGTTCAAGATAACTCGGTCGAGGCAGGGGACATCTTTGTGTTTCGATACGATGGGTTCAATTTATTTGATGTGAAACTACTAGGGTTATCAGGTTGTGATAAGAAGGGTTTCGGACATTCAACGAATGAAGAAGACGGAGAAGCACCAGTGGAGAAAGTGACTCAGGGTAAGTTCTACATTTATTTCTGCCCATTTTTCCCAATTCATTTAGTATATTTAACTTTCAGTATATATAATTTCTTACTAGTGGTATTGGTTGGTTCAGGTCGACCCGTTCAACGTCCCCTCAGTCCTTACGGTGATGACATATTCAGATCAGGTTTAGCTATACGGCCAAGAAATCCCTACTTTGTCACTAAAATTAGGAAATCGAGGAAGGATGATTTGGTAAGCCGTGTTTCCTAATTGACTTCAGTTTACAAATTAGTGATAATTTATGGTATTTTGAGCCAATAATGGAACAATTATTTGGCAGTATATCCCCAAGGAGACAATCAAGGACTTCCAATTGGACAACCTGCCTGGAGAGATGTTTCTCATTGATCCACAAGACAGAAGATTTCCAGCAAAGATCGTAAGATGGAAGGATGAGCGGGTGTGGTGCAAAGGAGGCTGGAAAAGTCTCTGTGCCGTGAACTTTGTACGACCAGAGGACAGATGTATCTGTGAATTTGTTGATGGTAACTTAAGTATCAAATTTGTCCGAGGAAATAATTGAATGACGTCTGAACATGTATTTTACATATTTTTGGAGCTATAAAAATTGTGATTCTATTTTTTTTATGTTATGTCAACAAGTAAAATTTGTTAGCACTTCTACATAACGCTAGTTTGATAATTCTTGATGCTCTATTTTCTTTCCTTTTCTGGATGCTGGTACTTCTGGAACCCTGCTCAACAGCATTTGTTGTAAGATCAAAGTAGAACTTGTATCCCGAACAAATTTTTAGTTCTTAAAACTTCAATTTGTGTAGGTCTGTCTTTGACCTTATATGAGGTTTTGACCGCAAAATTCCCATATTCGATTGTGTATACCAAAATCGAATGCTTGAGGGTTCCCGTGTAGGAAAAATTGAACAGTGGTCTAAGTGTCGTAATTTGCAAAACTTAGAGACCTCATGAGAAAAATCAAAGTCTAATAATTTCTTATTAAACATGCATTTCTCGATGTATTAATGTTTCAACTTATGATTGACAGATTTATAGGTTCAGTATTTACTTGATAGATATTCTATAGAGGAGGATTATTCTCGTGCTAGCTTTATTAGTTAATTAATTTGTCAAATTAGTAAAAAAAATTATCGTAGTGTAACAT